AATTTAAAATAATTGTAGACAATTGTTAAGGTTTAATCAAATTATTATTTGTTGTTGTTTTTTTTGTTTTGACCGCTCACTTTATTTTGTTAAATACCAAAAAAAAGCAACATTGATAACAGTTACTTCAACTTCTTTTTCGATATCATCAGCATTTTCCACTTTTGTTAGCTTATCATCGACAGGTGCACGACCAAGACCATTACCGTAAATAATACTACATTTTTTTTTCGACACATAACTACGCCATCCTGAACACCTTTTTCTTACCAACCTATAACTTACACTATTCAAAAGTAACTAAATTCAACTGGTACAAATAAAACTACTGCTTTTTTTGCCTCTCACATTTACAAAAAAAAAATGTGCACAAAAGAATTTTAATTATGTAACTTTTTTTTGGAACAAAATGCCTATCTTCAGCATAATATGGAACAGACAAGACATAGCTAAATTCTAAAGACAAAAATTCGAAACTAAATCCCACCCAAAAACAAGGAAATAATAAGAGTACCTTGTAAACCTGACTACCGCGTTAGTACATAAATCCACCACTTCGGTGACAAATTTTCCCAAATCAGCAATTGCCAACAGTGTGAATGGAATTCCGATAAGACCATAGACGATACAGAAGGTTCGACCAACACTGGTACGTGGAGCCACATTACCATAGCCTTAAAACATCGTCAATCGTTTAGCAAATTGTCTTTTAAATGTGCTGACGCCATAAGCATCACAAAAATTGTCCTTTTTCAAAGTAAAAAGTGTGGATATCTTTAAAGCTTATTTTCTAATTACAGCAAAAAAAATAGTACTTTTAAAAGCTGTCTAATAGCAAACCCTTTTATAAAGTTACAAAAACTTTATAAACTTTTATAAAATATTGCTTTTTATCGTCATCATCATTATCATCAAAAAATAAACAAAGCTATTTGGTTCCAAAAAAAAAATTGTTTACACTAAACAAAAAAACACTCTCTAAATAAAATTTTATACGTAATTTTAATGGTGTCAATTAAACATACCAAACCAACATTTTTATTTACTAGAAAGAGTGATTACCGATTGTAGTGATGATTGTAAAACTGAACAACACAGATTCTGCCAATGACCACGATTGGGTTCCTATCGATATTGCATCTGTAAATCGCTAATTTACTATTATTTTTGAAAAATCTGTTTACAGAGCCGAAGAAGATTCAAAACTTATAAAAAAGCAGGAAACGATTGTGTTGATATATGAAAACAAAACACTGTTATGCATTATATACCATATTTACGACGAAAATGCAAATAAGCAATATCATTCTTCTGATAGCAGTTGTCTATATCCCAAACAATTGATGCATCCACTGTTCTTCTATCGCAACTTTTATTTGCCATTTTCAACTAACCGGAAGAAAAAAGAACTGATAAGCAAACAAATAAAAAGATATTTATATTTATGTAAAGAAAAAAATAAGCATAAAAAAAATATATTTTTTTAAAGTTACAAGTTATAAATTCTCGTTCCATTCTCATTATCTTATCCTCTTTTCCACTTCGCTCTACCCTGTCTACTTCTCCTCCCCATCCTGTTCCTCCTTCTCCTTCCCTTCTTAGGCTTTTTTTTTAATAATCAAAAATCATAAATTTTAACCGTTTTTTTATTCCAAATTTGCACTGCTCCTCTTTTATTTTGATTGTAGTAATGAGAAAAATGTGTGAATAAATACATTAAATTTTGACAAGATGAATTGCTCGATGAGCATCAAAAAACAAAATACACCACAATAATATATATTCAAAAATCGGTCTGTCTGACATTTTTATACATAAATTATTGATATCAAAAATGATACATTAGAACAAAAAAAAAAGACAAAACTGAAAAAAGAACAAATTAGCTTTATAAGTATTTACTTGAAGCAGTTGTAAAATGCATTGATAATTTGCAGTTTGTGGAAATTGTGAATCTGCATCTGAGACATTACTGGAACGACGATTTTGATAAACAGATGTTGCAACATCAAAATTGCTCCCAAGTGGTTCTAAAAATAAACAACCATAAAAGAAGAAGAAGAGAGAAAAGAAGTATAAATAAGTAAATCAAATATGCATAACGAAAGTTTAAAATAACACAATAACAAAAGTTTAGTAGTTTTTAATTTGTTTAAAAATTCAGCAACATTATTATCAATAAACAATTTCTTTTCGCTCACTATCATTATCATTTTTTTTGGAAAAAATTAATGTCTTTTTTATCTTCAACAAGCGCTTCTCCCTGGCCGATTCTATTCTTGAAATTGACAATCAGTTGATCACAAACTGTTTTTTCTGAAGGACAAAAAAAGAGAAAGAGATGAGGAAATAGTGTGAAATTAGAGGACGATAAAATGTGCTGGCAAGTTTGTCAACTTTATCGTGTCTATTAATCAGTGAAAATTTTTAAGTACCAGTTACCAGGTGATGTCGTTTCCAAAGCTGCATAGTCTGATTTATCAATTTTTTGTATGGTACCATTTCTGTCCCAATAAACCAATGTGGACTCCAACTTCCGAAATACCAATGCACCAAAAATGGCATACAGTGATACCGATACCATCATTGATATATGAACAAACAATGGACTGGCCTTCAGCTAAATAACCAAAAGTTGTTATACACTTTTTGATCCGATATGATTTTTAAATTAAAAGAAAAAAACTTGCAAAGAAAGATCCCTTTTTGTAAAAATATAAAGAAATTTAGAAATATTGTTTTTTACATTATTCAAATCAGCTATACAACCTTTTATACCGATAAAAGTCTGCTATTTAGTTATTTCTTTTAATTACAATATTTTTTCTCATTTAAAAATATATTTACTCCTACAGATAATTAAAGCACCAAAAATAATTGAAGCAAAAAAAAAAACAGCTTCTTTTTAACTCAAAATATCAGAATTTGATTGTATTGATAAATATATCTATAAAAGTGGTGATAGGCAAAGAAATCGGAAAAGATATCTGACGGATAACTAAGTGAAGCTTAGCCCGAGAATCACCGTTAGCTGTTCCAAAAATTTAATCTTTTCTGCAACACTTATCAAAAGTCAAAATTGTCGTCGCTGTATTCAGAGTTTGCTTTGAAACTGTTCGGTATTGAAGGGCTCTATTCAACGACTGTATCCTTTTATTATGGGATGATGAGGGTTTAAACTTGTAACGGTATGCTGCAAGAATCTAGACAATATACTGACAGTCAAACTGGTGACCAAAATGATGGAGCTGTGTGTGGTTAACTATGTTATCTATTCTTCCTGATGATTACGTTAATAACAGTGGCAGTGGAGAAATGATACCATTTACCCAAATCGATTGTCACATCTTTAGTAGATAACAGATGTGTACAGTCAATGGAACAGTAGAATAGAATCTGGAGAATACCCCGGCCGATTGATCATTGTCATAAGCATCTGTATCGTATTGTCACTGTTCCAATTTTGCGTGAACTGTATGAACGAACGAACAGCAGCAACAGCAACAGCAACAACAGTTAGCAACAGCAAAGCACTGCACAACAGTGGATTTCTTATGATCTACTAATTCATACAATGTCATCATTATTTCTTAACTTTAACAGGGAATGGGACTGAATATTGCAGTAAATACTGGGTACTAGTAGTCTGATAATTGCTGCACAAGTCTATTTATTTCAGCTTAAATTAGGTGTAAAATTTGAATTAAAACTTTAAAAAATTTATTTAAAGCTTTATTTGTTTATTTACTTGTTTTTTTCTTTTGCACATGCATTTTTTGGTGTGAACAGTTTTGAAAAAAAGGAAATTTGTAATTATATCTGAACTTGGTTCAGCAATATTTTTTTTCGCAGCATCTTTTCAACAGTTTTACAAGTTAGTGTTAAGAATAGCGGAAGTAGAATTTTGGTTTTTTTTGTTTATTTGTCGCATAAAAGTTTTATTCGTTTCTTTTTAAATCATTTTATTTGTTTTTTTTTTCATCTCTTTTTATTTTCAGTTCCTTATGGAGTTGATAAATTTTTAAAATATTAATGCTCTGTTGAAGCAATTTATATGTTCTCTGAAAAACTAAAATACGCACATTATACAACAGAAACCTGAATGCAGAAAAGGAATAATAAGCAAAAAAAACTTTTATAAGTAGATATTTGTATGTGTAAGTGTGTTTGTTTTTTCAGCAAAATATTTAAAGAAATACTGAATAAAAACTATTCATTGATCGTTTCCTGACTATAATTCTTTTTTTTTTTTTTGTTGACAGGAGACAATCATAAAAAAAAAAAAAAAGAAAATTTTTCTGTTTTCAATATTTTAAATATCCTTTTTTTTTGTATAGAAATAGGAAAATGCATTAAAAAACAACAACATCAACAACAGCAAAGGTATTTATGCAAATGTTTCGATACTACAATTTATTTGGTCGTTTATATCGATGATTGCAATTAGAACACCTGAGAAATGAATGCAGTTATGTACTGTTGTCACCTAAGCCAACCAACCATTCGGATGGCAGTGTTACTGCTGCTATTACTGCTGATGACAATTAGCTCTGATTTCTGATAACATTCAAAAAGTTGTCAACTGTTTTGCTGTTGTAATTTGTTAAATTTTGTAGTTTGGAAGAGATAACAATTATAAAGTAAAGGGAGAAACAAAAATAGCAAAAACATTTCTTTCTGCTGCAGTTAGTTCTCTTTTTCAAAACAGTTTCCAACAACAGTTTTGCCAGTTTTTGGTTCCCAATTTTTCCTGTTCACACTCCTCCGTGGTTCCTGTTCTTTCAATTTTTGGTCTTAACAGTATTTGGGTGTTAGATCTGCTTAAAATAATGATTTTCTTTAATCTTGAAAAGCAAACAAAAAAAGATTTTTTTATATGTGGCTCTCTTAAAGCTTCATTATAATGAAAAAAAAATTTGTTTTACGTGTTTCTTCCTTTGCTTATCTGTTCGACTTTTTTGAAATCAGCTATGCAATTTTTTGATTGACCTTTTTCGCCCCTTTTTTTTCCAGCAGATATCTTTTTTTTGACATATTATTTAGCCGAGAAAAAAAAGAAGAGGAGAAAAAGAAGTTGACAACAACAGTAAGAAGACGAAGACAAACGATGTTTTAACAATAGCATTAAAAAAATGCTAAGCTTAGTGTTACTTTGAGACAGTACGGTTAGAATGATAATCAGAAGATTAAACGAAAAGTTGAAAACTAATTTGTACATTAATTCAGTTATGTTTGCTAAATATCAACAGTTATTGAACACCTTGAATGTCAATATATTTTACTTGAACGTTATTTGTCATAAAACCATCTTGTGCTGTTTTTCAAAAATTCTGATTCCATCTGTTGTTCAACTGTCGCTTAGACAGTGGCCGAGTGTAATGGCGATAAAGCAGTGGATGTCACAGCGATAAGCGGTGAACAACAGCTTGCCAGGAAATTGTTCCGTGCAATGACTATGGCTTTCAGATGTAGTCAACCTTTCAAAAATTTTCGTTTTTTTTTTCTTCTTTTTCTTTTTCGTAACCATCGATGAATTTATAGTTTAATTAAATTTTTCTAGTTTCATCTTATTTAAAGAAAATTGATTGAAAGAGTCGACGAAAGTGGGGGAAGGAGGAGGTGAAAATGATTATATTTTTGTTTTGAATCACTAAGTAGTTTTTTTCTTGTTGTTGCTGCTGCTGCTGCCAATGCTGCTTTCTGCTCTTACGCTTTATTTATAAAATATCTGTCTGAGTTTAAAAGTGCAACTAATAGAAAAAAAATGACAATAAGAATACCCAGAAAAAAAAGCTTAAGCTTTTATCTAACCTTTTCCAGTTTCAGACATATCTTCTAACTATCGAAATTGAACTGCACTTAGCAGCAGAAAACCATCACTAACAGGATAAAAAGAAAAGGAGAAAAACAAAGCAAAACAAAAGAATGGGGCAAAAGATGACGGATGAAAATGCAAAGAAAAAGTGTCACAATTTGTGTTGGGTTTTTTAGTGTTCCTTCTATTCTCTTTTGTTATTGTTTTGCTTTCAAATTTTCTACGGTATCTTTGCCAATAATCTAATCCATTGAAATTGAAGTTGTCGTATTTAAGGAAAAATTTTTTGACAAGATGAAAAATAAAAACGAAAGTAGGAAAATGTATATGAAAAAAAAAAGATAAGGACGAAAGCAGAATTAGCAGCAGCAGCTGCTGCTGCTAACGACGATGATAATAACAACGACAGATTCTTTGCCTTCTTATTTCTACAACCATTTATTTTTGGTTAGTATTATTGCTTTGATACAATGCTGCTGCAGCAGTATACAACAACTTAATGCCTTATTAATTAAGACTTTAAAATTGAGAGAAAAAAAAGCAACGAAAAGAATTTCATATTACAGTT